TGATTGGAGTATTGACCATCTTTGCTTTTTAAAATCTTATAAAAATTTACAATAATATTTTGTATTATGTTTTATTTAAAAAACGAATTACTTTTACCTTTTTCTTCTTACATAAATGTAAAATATTCATCTTCAAATTCGAAACTTCAAATTTTAAAACATTAAACCAATAATGACTAAAAAATTTTTAAAGTAAAAAAGGTATAAAAAGAAAACAGTTTGCAGAGAAAAACTTTTACGTATTTATATTACGAACAAGCTTCCCAAATGCATTTCGCCAAATGCCTCTTCAGTGGGGCTTACAATATACAGTTTACGTTCTGACAATCAACTCATTAAAGAGCCACTTATATAAATTAACAAGAAATTCCCAGCATTCCGCTGTTAACATTCCCGTATTTAAATTTACATTACTCTGCATAATTACTATAGTGAACTGTTCTTTTACCTTTCGCTTTACATTGGTTTTTTCCTGAAAAATAATTTTTACGAGTAATTTATTAGTATTAATCTGACAATTATTATTATTACAATGTTGGAAGACAGGAAAATTACTAATTTTTAACCTTACGGCAGCCAGATGTTCCGACAGTCGAATCTTTAATCTTCGTTTTGTTTTACCAACGTAAAAACTAGGAATGTTACACGTGCATTCTATCCGATAAACAACACCTTCTTCCTCTAATGAATCTTTCTTGGTACTTCTTATAATCATCATATTTGATAACCTGTTATTTAAGGATGGAGCCAATCTAATTAATTTTTGATTAAAAAACTTATTATATTTTTCATAAATACCTTTTATATACGGAAATAATACATACTGTATTATTTCTTGACGACGTTTAACTTTAAATCTGTTTCCTAAACATCTATGGTACCAATCATTTAATAATCTTTTTGGGTATCCATTTAGAATAAATTTCTTATGTGTGTCTCCAATTTCTTTCTCTCTTTTATCTCTTTTTACAGTATTCCAAATGATCTTCAAATCTTTTAATTGTTATATCTAAATAACTTCATTGATTATTTAATTCATGTTCTTGAGTAAATTTAATAGTCAAATTAATTTTATTAGCTTGTTCCAAAATTTACAAATTTGTTGTTACTGCACTATCATACGCGATCAAAATATCATCGACGTACCTTGCAAAAAACTTTACTCTGTTTAACGTTGATAAAATAATGTCCACATCCAGCATATAAATTTCGGCTAGTTTTGGTCCTATTACGGAATCCATAGAAATACCTTCTGTCTGTCAATAAAAAATTTTTTTCACTGTAAAATAATTATTATCTAATGTGAAGATAATTAAATCTTTTAAGTAATCAGGGACACCATACTTACATAGACTGCTCACAATCATATCTTTAGTAATGGAAGGATACATAGATGTTATATCCAAACTCATCACTTTATAATTAGGCAAAATTACACCTTTTTGTGATCTTGATATTAAATCATCAGCATTTTTAACTGTATATTCTGAGTTTTGTATATCCTGTAATAACTTTTTAATAAACATTTCCAGATTATATAACAATGTGAATCTAAAGTCTATGATTGGTCTACATTTGCTTTGTTTATGCGTTTTAATTCTGCCAGTTAATTTAGGAACTCTTATATTTTCCTTTGGGAGTATTTCTTTACTTTGATTCGCTTGGATATGATCCTCTTTCACTAGTTTCTTCAATTTTCTGTTAATGTTCGTTGTATTTCAATAAACGAGTCTTTTTCCAATTTTTCGAAGTTTCCTTCAGTTATAATTTCTCGTTTCTTCAGTTATAATTTCAGTTATAATTCATGTAAATCCATAATAACTATTTGATTTGACTTATCTGCTTTTAATACATATAAATTATATTTTTAAATAAATTTATTAATTCTAGTATATTTACCTATATAAAATTTTGCTTTATGATCCTGAATGCACCTTTTCTTGATATTAAGCTTTTTTTAAGTCTTCACATATTTTAATTCTAGGTTCATTCTTTTCTTTTTTAAGGTTACAATGAAAAATTGCATCTTCAATATCTGCGATAGTATTTATTATTTTACTGGAAAAAGGAAAATTCTAGATATATTAGAATTAATTAAGTTTGAGCAAATATTGAAGTTACGAGGTTTTGATCGCAGACCAATGATATGGTATCGTTTTTTGTACGTAAAACTATCTCACGATGGATAGCTTGTTGAGAGGTTTCCTAAAAATAAGCAATACTTCGGTCGGCCGATACGCTGTGACAAATGGAAACCGAGCAATAGTAGTGTTCTTTGCATTCGGCACTTTGAACCTAACTGTTTCTACACACAGAACGGATACATCAATTTGCATGAAACATCGGTTTGTACAAAGTTTAATTTTCCTCAGCATCCGCAGACAGTTAGGGGTACCACGAAAACCACTAAAGCGAATGTCTTTGGCTAACATAGATGATGATACCTATGATGAGAGAAGTGTGGATCAGCAAATACATAAAATAAATAAATAGTCTATTCCCCCTAACTACTGGTTTTTCCCATCCGTATCATTGCTGTTTTATTCAGATAAAGCTCAAATGTCTGACCAACGACATCAGATAATCAGGCTCATCGTGATGTTTCTGTAAGACAAATATTCATAGAACTTCTTTATATTAAAGGTCAATAAATTATGTTTATTGATGAGTTACTGTATTTGAGAATATTAATATGAGGCTCTCCATAAATTACATTCACATTTTTCTTCAAATTTTTACTTCCCCTTTCCCTCTTGTCCCAATTTTTCCAAGTTTCCTTAACCGAAGAAGGGGTTATCGCCCGGCCATCCGGCCACACCTACTTCATAACTAAAAAGCAAACAAATCCCTATATCGATTTTTATTAGTCGCTTAGATCATAAATGATATTATACTGCATAAATGCAAGAATATCGAACACATTTCTCACCCCTCGAAGTAAATCGCCTTGGAAACTGGACATTCGAACTCTGTCTAAACCGACCTCTGTCCACCCTACCGTTCATAACAAGTTTCATCTTTCTTTGTCGTTTCTTGACGAATTAATAATTAATTAATTTACTAGTATATACGTGTTGTCGTAATTTTTGTGTCATTTAAAGTGACCAATCCGTTTGCTAGTTAGAATTCGATTAAAATGATATTTTTACAGTTGCAAAGATAAATAATAAACTGTATATATACTCAGTATTTTAATTATATATGCCACGTATACTGTCTCTGATAGAACAATATATACCAGGGGTGGCCAACCTGCGGCTCGCGAAGGATTATTTGTGGCTCTCGATAAATGTACCCGAGTTCCCTTTTCATTTTTGTGTTATTATATTTTTTCAAAATGTCTTTTAAATTACTAACAACAAATATGAAAGACTAAGTGCAACGTTGTAACAAATTTCATTTCTGTCCAAGTTAAGAATGATATGACTCATCGAAAACTGCGCGAACGAACATAAACAGTGGCATTATCGACCGACTCCAGACCGATTTTGAATTTGTAAACTGTCATTGCAACGGACAGTTGACATTGTGCTCTGGAGGAAACAATTTGTATCACTCTTGCTACGGATATAATTCATAATCTGGAATTTTTTGCATATTTTTTTAATGTGTATTTAATTGCGGCTCGCGAAAAATTTCAAATTTTGAAAAATGGCTCGGACTATCAAGGAACTTGGCCACCCTGGATATATACTGATATTGGAAATATGAACATTAAAAAAAACTGTTGTTTTTGTGACACGTATGTACGAAGTCTGTTCAAAAAGTACGCGGACTGACGTCATAAAACAAAATGTACTTTATGTAGAAGTTACATGTCTGGGTCTCCTTCAAAGTACTCTCCTTCCCAACGCACACACTTATCCCAATGGTGTTTCCACTTGTTGAAACAGTCCTGCGATGCTTCTTTTGTAATGTCTTTCAGCGCCTTCGTCGCATTTGCCTTAATCACAGGAATCGTCACAAATCTTCTTAATTTCAAGGGTATTTTGAGTTTGGGAAACAAGAAAAAGTCACAAGGAGCAAGGTCAGGTGAGTAGGGAGTGGGGAAGAACAGTGATCGAGTGTTTGGCCAAAAACTCACGAGTTCTGAGGGCTGAATGGGCTGGAACATTGTCGAGATGGAGAAACCAGTCGCCACTCCTCTACATTTCTGGGCTTTTGCGACGGATGGCGTCTCTCAGACGTTTCAGAACTTCAATGTAGTAAATCTGGTTCACTGTGGCGCTTTGGGGGGTACTCGTAATGAACAACACCGTTAGCATCAAAGAAAACTGTCAGCATCACCTTGACATTGGATCGAACTTGGAGAGCGTTTTTGGGTCTGGGGACCACTTCAAACATGCTGTATGCTTCATAGCAACATCACCGTAAGCCGTATTGAGCATAGCAAATGTTTCATTCGCAGATTTTCCAAGTTTAACACAAAATTTCATAGCAAGTCGTTTCTCCATTAGGTCATTCATTCTGAAATTCGACAAACGAAAAAATCGCACTTCACTAAAAACCGCGTAGCTAATCAACAAATAAAGATACAGTATCTGTAATCGGGAAACGGATTTATCACTAGACGATCTGTACAAACCTAGCAACACCAAGCGGATTCTTCTGGAACCAACTGAAGCCGCGCAATTCAAACAGTCCGCGTATTTTTTGAACAGACCTCGTAAACAACTTGTATTTAAATACCTTATACACTGATAAATTGGAAGTGGGTAAACATTTTACATACTTGTCTAGAACCTGGCGCAAACTTGCACCACTCCAATTATTCGACAATACAAGCTTTTCACGTTTAATTTTAAACTAAAGTAGAAAAAAAACGACAAGTTTTTGTGATCATGAAATAATTGGAAGCAAAATCAAACAAATGTGTTTATTAGACAACGAAAAGTATTTACACAGACAATTTGTACTTTTTTAATATTATTATTCTAGTCGCATTTAATCATTCATCAAACTATCTTTGTAAAAAAATGATTAATTTAGAAGTTCTCAAATTGATGCAATGCCAGAACTGTGGAAAACTGTGGAGAACATCTTTCCGAAGCATTCTTAGATTGATTAAAATTCCTTTCTTTTGCAGCTGCACTATGCACGCGTTTAATTCAATGTAATTCGAATGAATCCATGTTGTTTGCTTGTCGATAATTTTTGAAGTCCTTTCTCTCGAACTCTCCGAATGCTTCTTAATCATAGAAGTTCAGGATCAGGGTCCGTAATCTGAAAACGACAAGCAATGCTTAGTTACACTTATCTAAAATTTGTTATTTCTTAAGAATAAATCTACTTACCATTTCATGATGTGTATCTTTTAATATTTCAGAAATCTTGTTTTATTTATTTGTCGAAACCGTGTCTACTTTTTCTTGTTTTGTTTGGTTCAATGTCACGACTTGGTGAATTTATTGATACTTGGCAAATAATTTCATCATCAACAAAACAAACAACGGACACAATTATCGAAAGCCAAAAATCGGGTAGACACAATTAGAAATTCAAATTAGAAGAGTCACAATCAAAGTAAAGACAAGGTTCGAGAGGACGCAATTGGAAGTCAAAATTGGTGAAGTCACAATCCAGTTAAAATCAATAATCGAGACGTCACAATCGGGATATAATTAAAATTATAGTCAAAATCGGGATAACGTCAAAATTAAGGAAGTCACAATTGAGTTAAAGTGCCATAATCGAGATAAAGTCAAGTTCGAGGAAGCCACAGTCGTTAAGTCCATATAATTAGAAGTATTCAAATCATTCTCAATACAGGTGAGCAATTCCATTAATCAAGAAATATATTTTAAATTTCAAATTTTTAAATTTTTTTTAAATTGAAAACGAACAAACACAAACAAAACAATAAACATAACAAATAAAGAAAACAGTGTATGTACACTGCGTAGAGATGAAAATCTCTAAATTTCTTCTAAAATCTGTGAAAATAAAATGAAAATAATCAATATTTTTATCTAAAATATTCAATTATTTAAATAATTTTTAAATCAGTAAGTTTATTTCCTTCTAAAAACAATTATACACGAATCAAGCGAAAATTATTCAGTGCATAATTGTTAATTCGCTACTATTGTGTCATTTATTATGATTCAAATATATTATGATTAATTTGATTACTTTAGAATCTTCGTGTACTCATATTCACATAAACTTGCTGAATATTTTAATCTTTACTCCCATTTATGCTGTTATTTTCCTACGTTACGAGACTAGTACACTTTCAGAATATATTTTTGTCGTTACTTGGCCAAGAATATACATATATTGTATATATGTATTTCTAATGCTTTAAAAGCCTAGCCTAATCTGTCTATATGTAAAATCTGAATCGTATGAAGAACATAATGTATCTCCATGTTAATACACGTTTCCTGTTCTCCTGTTACCTGGCCATTTTGTGTTGGTGGTACATTGGGGATAAAAATTGTGTTTAATTTATAAGTTGATAGTGGAAAATCTCCTAAGTGCTGAGTGTAAAATACAAAAATATTCCGATTAAACACTTACCCGAAACGAACTCGGACGAAATCAAGCAGATAAATCCTATACTTGATTCAATGATGGAGAAAAAGAGATCCTTATTCAAACTGAACGTATTCAGTTTGTCCAGTCTTCATGTTTTTCCACACCTTTTGCGCTGATCTGGAATGTGAAAAACAAGTTTAATTATTTATTGAAAAACTACATCTGAATATGAATTTTATCAAAACATATCGAGAGCGCAATATCGAGGTTCGGCTGTATTTATATTGATTAATTGTAAATGTTGCATCATATCAAATTGAGAATCAAAAATTGTTATATTTATTCATTCTAAATGATATTCTTTCAGCGATACTTTAAATTCAATTTTACTATTTTAAAAGCTTTATAATTACTGGGCTGCAATTTGGAAAAATTGTACTATAAATTTCCTCTATTAAAAATTGCAGCCCGACATTGTGACCATGTCACAATAAATAATTGCTTGTTATTATTGTTTTCATTTGTAGCTTATCTTTTCATTGGATTAGAAATAAAACTAGTTTGGTAAATCTCGATGTAGCGCCAAAAATATAGGAAAGTTATGCCATTTTCATAAAAATTACGAAGGTTTCAAGCTCAAATCTCTGTGTACATCTTAATACTGTGTATAATTGTTGCTGTTTGAGCTACTTTGGATTAGCATCATACTGGATTCAGTGAGAATTGTAACGGCGAACGAATGACCGAGCTAAATCGAACTTTGTTTGTACTGACATATACAGAAACTTACCTCTTGACTGGTTTCCATACTGCCTTGAAGAAAGATCCGGCTTTTTTCAATGCCTTTCTATCTCTAATAGCACATCCAATGGTATATCCAATAGAATAGCCAATATTATATCCAAAACTATTCTCCGTGCTATCCTCTTGCTTTCTGAAGTCTTTATTCACTTCGATCTTTGTTGGAGGAACCATAACG